CTGCCCTACTCTCAAGCCTTTTACAGCTTTTTCTAGTTATTTTATTTTCTTCTCCTTTTATATATTGTATTAATTATTTGTTTCTCCTTTTATTTATTATAATGAAGACAGATTGTGAATGTTGTGTTTCAAGGGATCTTCAAATCAGAGCTGGGTAGTGTATAGCCCAAAAAATAGTCAAGTAATAGTATTATTACTCTGTTATATATGTATATATAAGGATAAGTAAGAAGTAGTCTTCTTAAAAGTCTTAAAGAGTGAAAATGATTTATTGTAAATATTACTCATGAGCCAAGTAACTGTTTGATAATTACATTTCATTGGTGAAAATTATGCTAATGTATAGTTATTCTTGTGACTTTTGAATTTATATGAATAAAGTCAATTTTACATCATTTTTTTTTTTTACAAGTGGCCCATTTGTAAACATATACATATATATTAATAAATAAAACAAGTAAACAAGCCTTTAAGGCAAACACTGAAGTTAGTTTTTTTCTGTGATCTTCAGGAAATATTCAGTCAGACTTCTCCACCTGTTGACAGGTATTTTTCAGACCACTGTTCATGACCAACGTACATTAATTCGTCTGCAACATTTTTTTTAAAGAGTTCTTTTTTTTGTGAAATCTCAAAATCAATATTGTATTTAAAAAATTATCATTTAGTTTTTTTTCAGTTTTGTGTTATTTAGTTTACTTGTTGGAATTTATAATTTTCTTTAATGGGAGGGTATGTAACCTTTCAAGCACAACTGTACAAACTTACCCTCAGACTTACCTTTTTCAGGATTTTCTCTTTCAGAACAGGGTCATTCAGATCCATGGAGTCCTCTGCCTTCAATTTCAGCTTTACTACATTTTTGAAAACTGATTAAACAAGAAGAGGAGATGATTGATTAGATTTTAGCTGTTTCTGTAAATTAAAAGACAATACGTTTAATTAAATAATTATTGGGAATAAAAAATGTTTGTACAATCAAGACTGATTGTTCAGTTGTACATTTTTTTGTTTAGTTTTTAAAGTGGAGTAAAATAATCACCATGAACACTGTAGCAGACAAACGGCAATCTTTTTTCACATGATAAAAATTTCCATTTTCCAGATCTCCCAAAAGATGTAGCACCACATATCACTGTCATTGAGCCGATTGGATTAATGACAGAGTCCCAGGCACTAAACAGGAAGCTGCTTTGATCTGACCAAAAAAAGTTTGGGTCTCTAAACAGACCAATCCAAGCATGGACGCCAATCGGTAATACTTTCGCTATCATGTTATTTTCTGCATCAGTCCTTACAGTTGCAAGGTCAATAAAGTTTTCCCTGCAGAACCTTTGAGCACTAGACCAGTTCATGTTTTCTTTTTGACGAGTAAATTGAGGTTCCTCTTGTGTCCCTGTACAAAAGAGGGATGCGTTAAAGAGGATGAAGAGTTTTCCCTCTTTAAATATCAGATTATTGTATGCTATATTGAATAATAAAAACGTTATAATTCCCCTTACCGGTGTTACAGATAAATTGCTGGTTTAGTGCACAGTCATCATCCCACCAATTTCCAAGATCCCCAGAACGTACACACAATTGACTGGCATGATAAAATTCTGGTTCATTGTAATCACTTCTCCAGTGCCTGTAATCAGCACCAGCCCCAGTATACCCATCTGACCACTTCCAGTCGATTTCACTGTACAAACCAATCCAGACGTCAGAGGTGTAACCAGCAGATTGAAGCGTTTTATAAAGCAAGTTATGTTCTTCGGAGTTTTCTATGGTGGCCAGGTCTGTGTATTTCTGTCTGCAGAAAGTCTGAGCTTCATTCCAAGTCAAAGGTTCACTGAAGAAGTGGTAATGGCGAGTGAAACTGGTGAAGAGGCTGAAGCAATCTAAAATAAAAAAAAAATAAAAACATTTGTAAATGTTTTGTTGAGGTTGATTCACAGTCCGTTAATTTAATGCAAATTATAAATGACAAAACTCACTGACTTGATAGAAGCATTGCTCCCAGCAAGATCCTTTCCATTGTGATTCTTCGCTTCAGACCTGTAAAGAAAGATCTACTCTAATGAAGACAGATTGTGGGATTGCTGAGTAGTCTGTTAAAACTCATCAATGCTTTAGGCTTTTTATGCAAAATGTGTGACAAAATGGCAGTCTGCATGCAAATATTACAGTCAAAGTGATAAAAAAGATTTGCCTACATGCAGCTTTGCAGTGTTTCTATGTCTCACTTATGTACATTCTTATGAGATAGCAAGCACAGTTACTGTACTTGAAATCCAAAAGATTATAGTCAGTGTGGTTCAGGCTTTTCTTGAGTTATCTCTATAGTTATGCTGTTTATGGGCTTAGACTGCTGGAGCACATAGGGAACTCTTTCATCATTCTGCTTTATTCTGTCCTTTAACCCCAGCCGGCCTCTGCAGATGGCCGCTCACACTGAGCCTGGTTCTGCTGGAGGTTTCTTCCTGTTAAAAGGGAGTCGATGAAATCAACTGGTTTTCCTTAGACAGAACACTTTGAACCAATCTTATTGAATATCTGGTAGAATTGTCTCTGTCAATGCATTGAGATTACACATGTTGTGATTTGGTGCTATATAAATAAACTGAATTGAATTAACAACTAAATAAAAAAGAAAAAGGAGGGAAATAACATTAGATTTGATATCAATCATAAAACATGAGAACGTCTTTGTGCAAAGGTTTGGTTGTCTTTATGCTATTGCAAGTTGTGTGAGAGTTAACGGAAACATATATGACCTCTCTTAAAAATAGCTTTTGCACAGTCTAGTGAGAATAAGTTGTTAGTCAAGATGTCAGTCGAAACTGAAGTGGAAATATTACTGTTTGAAGGAACTCTAAAACAGTACAGCTTGGTGATTGATTAGTATTTTCCCTTTCCATGGTAAAGAGTGATCTATCTCTCAACAAGAAGCTGAAGAACTTAGTTGTAGTATAACAAGATCCCCTTCATTTATCATAAGTTTCCAACATTTGTACAGTGATTGATACATGGAGGCAAAGTCCCTTTTTGGATTGTGTTGCACACTTTCTCAGCCAGGTAATTCTCATAGTCTTCTCACAAGAATACAACACACACATAGCAATTATTATTATTTCTCCTTGTTTTTATTTTAGGACATGGCATATCCCATTATTCCCCTGAAACTCATTATAAAGAACGGCCATGTGCTCCTTTTAAGTGAGTGGGTCAAGGAACAAACTATTCCTCATACCTCTCCAGGTAGCGAAGAAGATCAGAGGAATCATCAGCTTTGGGAAAAGGTTGAATTGTGGTTTGAAAGTACTCCTCCCCACATTTCAACTCCTTATTTTTTCTTGGATAGTTAAACATCCATGTGACTCTAACAGATAATGTAAAGTTCCACTTTGTGCAACTCATCAATCTAGCCTACTCCGCTAATTGTGAAAACACTGAAGAGGATGCAGATGATTCGCTGCAGACGATTCGCTGCTAAATTTGGCTGCTATGACTGGCTGAAATTATATTATGGAAGGCGAGTACTAGCTGACATGTCACCCAATGAGCTCGAAGTATTGTACTAAACGTCCCTTATTTTCACAGACAGACTGAACGGCAGCCATCCCAGATAGACAACGAAGAACTCAACTCATCAATCTGCTAATGCCAGGTTAGTTGAGGGCAGGCTTTTAAAGAACTTGCCCTATTTGCTCTGTCTTTGCTCGAAAGTCCATTGAAAACCTGATGTAGTATGAATGTTCTCACAATGAACCTAGTTAAGTCCAAAAACAAAAGCTTTTCACCAACTGTGATTTTTCTTTTAAAAGGGGCGAACTTTAAACTTTGTTGTTTGTTTTTGTTTTTCTTGGCAAATTGTGTTTATGGTCAGTTTCCCAAAAATGCACTTTCCTTTTGATCAGGTTTAAAAAGTAAAAGGTATTAAAATGATTTTAAAAGTTCATGGTGAAAACATTGCTGTTTCTTATGGTTAATGCCAATATAAATGTATACTTTTTTGTTTAAAAGTGGCACATTTCTCCTCCAAGAGTAAATCTCTGAATTTCAGATAGACAATATGGAGGAGTACCTGTTGAGTTTGTTTTGGGCTTGTTTTCAAGGAGTGGGCTGCTTTCTTTTTCTTGGCAAATCTGCCAACATTGAAAGTCACACAAAGCTGTTAGTCCCAAACACAAAACCCAGCAGATATTACTGACTGAAAGAATGTTTTAAAATTGATATTGAATTTGATGAAAGCCGTATTCATTGTGATGATCATGATTTTTATTTTGTTGAACTCTTACAGTTTGAATTACATACTACAAAAAATATGTATATATTTTTTACTTAATATTGTCAGAACAAATAATAACAAGAGAAAATTCTTCCTAAAACAGCAAACTAAACAAACAAATCATCAACCAAAAAAAAAAACAATAATAAAAAATGTCCAGATGGGAGTATGTACCATCTTAGGTATATGCCAGATGCGTGGAACAATTTAGCGGTATGATTACACTGATTAAAATTGATTAAAAGTAGCATAGGCTCATACTTACCAAGTTCCCTTTAATGTGTGAACTGAACTGGATGCAAGTCGCATCTGAATATCCAGAAAATCCATTTTCAATATATCGCTTGGGATTGTTTTCTAGGTTGGACCTATTTAGTATGAACATGCTAGACGTCACTTCTACAGAAAAAGCGCAGCAACATCTGGACCAAAGTACCTCAAAGATTCCTCATCGCTGAACGACTGAGGTGTCAGTCTGCTCATCAAACAATGTTTTAGTCGTAAAGGGTCAGATAAAAAGGCTATTGTAAAGATATTTTTTAGTTAAAACTTACAAAATGTCTCTAACATTATCTCAAAACTCCACAAAATGTAATTCAATCAAGCAAGCATCTGTTTGATTTACTTGACACCTACCTTGGCTTAAGGCTGCTCCTCACAGCTTACAGGAAAATCTACAGCTAATATCTTGGTGTTGAATGCAGAGATAAGGCCTGCCCAGTATTGGCTTTGAGGGCTTAGGACTTTATTATAGCATAAACAGAAATCAATATA